TTGGTTTACCATGAAAATCCCCTATGAAAAACCTACTTGATCATTTAGGGGTAGCTCCATTTCAGGAAACCCCCCACAAAAAAGGGAAATTCTAGTTCTCTATACTCATTTATACTTGGAAAGATTTTATGTAAATACATGTTATTGTATTTATATCATACCACTGAACATATCACCTTTTTTGCACGGCAACAAACGTTAGCCAGGTTGATATAGAGGGCGGGGCTGGTATTCTCAGTGCTTAGCCAATGGCCTCCCTGTGCTTCCTTCCTGTACAGCTAGGAAGTGTACATTGCCAGTCCACCCCAGATCGCAGATGCCATCTTTGGAGGATTTTTCGCAACAAATATCAAGATCCAATGGAATATTTATGTTTTTGAGATCCTCCTTAGGAGTAAATGATGCGCATCTAGCAACAAACTTTCGTGAGTTGAATCTTAACAAGGTTGCTAAATTTGCTTCATGATTTCCACGACGTTTTGAAACATGTCCTAGAAATACTTGTCCTTTCATCAAAAAGTGGGATGCTCATCCGACATACCTAGTATGCATTGGCTCAAGATTTGCTATGAATCCGCACAATTTGTCATTTTCTGGACTAATCCATCCCATTCTGAGGGTCAATAAGTTTGAGCCATACCCCCACGTGTGCTAAAATGAAATCGAATTGAGACATCGGAAATGCATAAATGCTATGGAACTAGTCAAATAGGTAACGGCTGAGAAGCTGCTTATATCAAATATTTCCATAAGACCCAGTTACCATTGTTCTCACCCTCACCAACTTATCAAGCACTTAACTACCCTCTAGTAATTTAACACAGCTACTAGTATGGAAAGTCAGCATTTATTGTTAATTAATTGACCATGTTTCATTGCAAACTGTTGAAATTACTAAAGGATAAATCAAAAAGTAAGCATTTTATAGATTATTTTTCCTGGCTGTAAAGCTCAATCTATAGATGTGTTGTCCATCAAAACTTATAATGTATAGACTGTATAGATGATTTGTTTCCGTGAAAAGCCATCAAAACCTCCAACTTTGGATGATGTTTGTTCCATGAAAAAAAACACATTTCGTTCGGGAAACTGTCTCCGATCTGTAGGGTTGACGTGGCATGACGCCAGTGAAAGGGGCCTATGAGGGAAGCAAGCACAACTAGTTGATTGGTTATGAATCATACCTTTAAAAACACCGTGGATAGGAATTTACCATCAATTGAGGTTTTATATGGGTCTTATGGAGTTTCTAACTATTAAACCAAATATATATATATAACCATATAAAAGCTCCATAATCGATGCTAAATTCCCATCAATGATGGTTTATACACAGGGGTTGGTAACTGTCCCATTTTGGGTATATTGGACATCACCTTATAGTAGCCATGTTCAATGGGGACATTTAATGACCCATGATATAAGTGAAGAATACCATGCTTGGATTCAGCGGATTGATGAATTCGAGAGGGATATGGGAGATTTTTTCGATTGGGATTCGTTCCAACGGAACGAGTAAAGTGGTTCCACCAAGCATAGTATAATGCTAGTTTTTTGATGGAAGAATTAATATAGCCAACAATCATCAACAATCAACCATATTATTGATATTATCTGGGTAATTTTCATCACGACCGAACCCTGTTCTCCCTCGCAGGATAATGGGATTAACCATACTATGGAATATCATTGATAAAAAGCCATTGGGATGTTTTTTTCCCCTGATATAGCCATGGTTAACATCTAGATGTGGGAGTATCATTGATATCATTTTATCACTATGTGATTGTTGTGTGATTTTTCATAGTGAGTTATACTACCTGGGCTATTGGAAAAAGCCATGAACTACCCTCTGGTAAACTAACATAGCTGTTGAAAATGACCATCTATACTGGATTTTCCCATTAAAAATGGTGATTTTCCATAGTTATGTTAGTTTACCAGAGTCAGAGGGTAAGCCAATTTTCTTAAACCATTTTCAACCAACGAGATTTAGTGAAACATTAAATGTTCTGTTCCAAACCTTATTTAAGGAATGATCACCCAGAATATGGAATAATATATTTGATATAATATGGGATATCTAATATTTTTAATCTAATAATATAAGAACTAGATAATTGTATTTATCTTATCTGGAATAATAATATGTTTAGATGGGGGGTTGGAAATATAATATATATATAATATGTATTATAATCAGCCGTGGCCTATTTAACCAGGGCTTTGTGACGTATCCAAATGGGATCTTGGAAACTGTATTTGATTATTCAGGAACTATATTGAATTCTTCATGAACTATGTTGAATTCTATATCTATATTTACATATACGTATATATGTGTCCGTTCACATAGATGATACGCAGTGGATGATACAAGATTACGGTCCAACATGACTTGTTTTTCATGACCATCTTGGAAGGATGCTTAATTATAATACTTTGAAAAGGACCTTGAAAACATCAACCACCATTGTTGGGTTTGCAGCTCCTCTTGTCTTACGAAACATGGATGGTTGTTGCTGAATACAGAATGCATCAGTTTTTCAACATGTGCACATATCAATAGTGGCTGCAATCTATGATAGAGAATGCCTGTAGAACCATCAGACCCGGATGAGCAGCAATCTTGGAAGACCACAAACATTGAAGAACTACCAATTCTTTGCATAAAGCCATCGTAGTACAGTAATACAGTAATGGGTTATAAGTTATGTATAATAGGCTATAGTGGGTGGGTTACACTGAATTATAAAGGGTTATTATGGATTATTATGGGTTGCCATGGCTTACAATGGGTTATAACTGTCTAACACGAGAATGCTTTGTCACTAGCGCAGAATTGCATCATCATGAGATGTCATGAGATTGGGAGACGTTGCCCCAGAACATTGGTACATTTTGACTTGTCTCAAGTCAACCGTAGTATGTACAATGAAATTTGAGATTTCAGTTGCGTATCGCAACAGTGTAGATTGAGTCTATATATATATATATACACATAATTTTACCATGCATGTAAAGTGTGAATGATCTATGTAGACATAAATTGTAAATGATGGATAGCATTAGATTGGCATCTATACATCACGCTCTGTACAAGTTGATTTCAGTTTGCATCTGGCCCTATGACTCTTGCCTCCCTTGTAGGCCATGGGACTTAAAAATCGAGTCCCAAAGCTGGCTTCAATAATGATAATAATGAGTCCTGAAACTTTTGCACTTCGCACTGCAGATCAACTAGTTTCTGCAGCCTCAGCATTGGTTCCAAAAAAAACGGCGCTTGACCAAGATATTCAGAGAGCTTGGCCTACCCCTAAAAAAAATCCGTTGGTGAATGAATGACACTTGCACTCTGGTCATCAAACATGGCTCGGCTAGCTGGGAAATTCCCGATAAATGGATATCAATGGTGGTTTCTACAATGTGAGGCCCCCCAGTGATGTTAGTTGGTTTATAAGCCCCAGTAACTATAGTTATAAGTACCATAAACCATAGTTATTGGAGTTATAAACCAAGTTAGCTATCTTGGGGGCCTCACATTGTAGTTGTAATGATTGATTATCCAGTTAGCAATGTTGATTACAAGAGGGTATCTTATTTGGCGGTCAGTTAAAAGTAATGTCAAGTTAGGATTAATAAACCGCCCCCCCGGAAGGTAGGTACCTAGGGAGAATGTTCGACTAAGGTTGAAGAACTAAATAATCGATCTCGCAAGTTCAAGTCATAAGAGATCAACTTCGATCAACTTCGAATTGATATCAATCTACTTTCAATTGATTTGCCTTTTGAAGCTAGAAGAAATCTTTTAAAAAAACTGGATTTCCTGTGTGGTTGATGAAGGTTGATGAATCATGTCCTCCCGGAGCTTTAAGCTTTTAAATTGGCCTCCAGACCCTAACAAACAATATCAAACATAGTAATCAAACATGGAAAAACAGCCTGGAAATCTTCATGTAGATGGGAGAATCATCTATCTTTTATGTTTGATTACCAGAGGCTATCTGTGTTGCATACAGTTGGACACAAATTGCTGAGTGGGGCATGAGATTTTCGCCGGTGCTTGGCCATCTCACTTGCCAGCTTCTTGCAACGTCCTGGGGAAAACCATGTCAGAAGATCCAGTTCGGGACGTGAAGGTTGATTATACCTATAGCATCCTATAGCATCCTATAGCATCCTATAGCCTCTGGTAAACTAACATAGCGAACTGGAAAACAACAATTTTTAATGGGTCAATCCACTATTTTGGCCATTTTCTTTGTCGCAAACTGTAAAAGTTTACCAGGCCGGGTAGCTTATCAAGTGACAACATCATTGCAGTGTCAGTTGACACCATCGGACCATCGGTATGGAGATGACTCGTTTGGCATCACTGGCCATCCACTGAGCCCAAGATGTGTCCACAGCTGACTGAGACAAAAGTGCGGAGCCCAAGTCCTGACACTTTGCTGCAGGTCCATTTATTGATGATGAAATTAATCAAACATGGTGATTTCCCATAGCTATTTTGTGAAGTCATTTGTTTTCATGTTATGTTCTACACGAAGCTTGTTTAACCGCCTTCGGCGTGTTCCGCCGGCCACCATGGAAACAGCTATCCTATAGGCTGCAAACAGCCCTTGCACAGGCCCAGCAAGAACATGGTGTTTGTGTAAAACATTGTGTTTGTGGATGACACAGCTTTTGTGTAAAACAGCTCTTTGTGCAAAAGATGGTTTGGACGCAAAAACATTGGTTGTGTTCAAACCACGGTTTAAGTTTAAACCAAAGCATGTGTGTAAACCAGGGTTTTGGAAAAGGCCATATTGAGAACGGCTTTGGAAAAGGCCATATTTTGAAAGATTATGCGTGTAAAAGGTGTTCGGCACAAAAGCCAGTGGATCAAGTATTGGATATAAGAAGCGACGGAGCAAATCGATGGCAAACACAACGAAAAAAACGGAAACAATCATCGACATGACAGCAAGATGTGCAAAACCAAGCCGGTGTTGAGCGAGGCGTGGGCAGAGTTCATCCCACCACAACGTAAGGAAAGAGCAAGATGAGACGAAGAAGAGCTAGGTGGCGGGGAGGGAGGGGAGGCAAAAATCCGCGCCAAGGGGAAAGTCTAGACAAGACAAAGACTAAACAGACAGTACAACTACGAACCTGTGTGCTGCCATAGGCTGTTCAGCGCCGCTGTCGCTGTTGTGGAGCCAATGGTCTGTGGGCTAGCCCCAAGCCACATTTTTCGCGACCCTGGCATCTTGGGTCGTGAAGCTGGTACTCAAACCACAACTGGCCATACAGAATCCAAAACAAATCGCCACAGACCATTGGCTCCAAAACTGCGACAGGGGTAACTTGCCCCAGCACTCTTGGCTATTGGATGATGTTCCATTCGGAAAGGGGGCTTGGTGTCCTCAAAATCACAAGATATTCTGATTTCCCGAAACTTTAAATGTTAGAATGATTAATTTAGTGGGGGTAGAGTAAATCAATGCAAAACATGTTGAAATTCAAGTGCATATTTGTTTTGGATGGTGATACGGTAAAAAAACAACTCTGATGATCCCTGAAGCACCACTGTTGCCATTTTTAGGATATCCCAATGTATGACTAGGATATTAGTACTTATTTACCCTTGGCAATACAATGGATATAGTTTATTAGCATATTCAATATGGTTTATTAGCAGAGGCTAGGGTAACTCAGTAGTTATTTGAATCCCATCTCTGACCGTTTACTCATCTGCATCCGGGAGGTATGATGTGACATCTACTGCATGGAGGTGAGGAGCGTTGAAAGTATCCAGGAAACCATGTGGAGGTTTCCTAAAATGGGGGTACCCTTGGATGGTTTGTGATGGAAAACTTGCTTAAAATTGGTGATTTGGGGGCTACCCCCATTTCAGGCACCATGTCTAGACTGTAGTTACTACATCTAAAATTAGACTTTGGAGGTATGATGTAAGTATGTTTAAGTATGTGTTTTCGGAATATCTGGATCTGTTCCTTGGGGACTGATTTCTCCAATGGCTTTTCCGAAGCCAATTCTCCCATCTTCCAATCCTCGGACATGGCTGGACCGGGAGAATAATGACATGGGCCATAGCAGGAATACCTAACCAACCCTTGGCCCGTGTACTTGGGATAGTTTGGGATGATTTGAAATAGCCCGCAAGTTCTTGCTCTTTGGGGATAGTTGTTTATTGTTGTGAGATATGGATTATATACCCAATATCCATATTATACTCTCCTTATATTCCGAGTTTTGCCCAATATTATCCACTTGGTTTATATACCCAACTGCATCTATACCTACCAAGAGCCCCACTTAGTTTAGTGAAATATCACGGGGATTCATCGTTTACCCAACAGTTTGCGACATTGGAAATGGCCATAGAAATAGTTGATTTACCCCTAAACATTGTGATTTTCCACAGTTGTTTGTAAGTTCACTGGGTATCATCTTATTTAGCAACCAAGGATTTAGGGATCACCAAAGCAGGGATGGTTCCATCTCCAGTATCTCACCACAAGTTGGTAAGACTTCTTTAAGTATCCACTAATGTCCGATGAATATCTATTTTGGTTGGGCATCTGAAATAGTTACTTACTTTCCCATAAACACCCCATGTTCATCCATGTTCTTAGTTCAAGATGGTTTAAGAACCTAACTATCCATAAATATGTTGAATGGTTTGTTTGGGTGAATTACTACATATTTTCAGATGGACAACAATATCCCATTGATACAATATCGTGCCCCCCAGGGTTTTTTGTTGTTTTATAGCCCCATTATCTAGTTCGATATATCTACCATAAGTCCTAGTTAAATATTAGGGTTATAATCGACTTAGCTATCTCGGGGGCACCACCTTGTAACCTATGAAGATTGTTTGGGTTATTCATTCATTACATCACCACAGTTTGATAAAATCTGCATAGATATCCATTCACATCCCATAAAGACCACATTTTATGGGTTTAATAACTAACATACATATGTGTGTTTGCCCGAAAATAGGGTATCCAAAAATCCATTGGTTGGCATTCAGTTTCCAAACTAAAATAGCCATCTGGTGGTATACGACATTTTCAAACCAGCCCATATATATATATACATAAATACATAGTGTATATATATATACATATATATATATATTATTATCCATAACTATGGCATCTTATTTTTCACTGGTAATTCACCAGCACTTCTCTATGGGCCCACCATTTCTGCCGCGACAAAAAAGGCGGTTTCTCCAGCCGTTTCTGCCGTGTCCCATCTGGCACCGCATGAAGTCAGTTTGAAGCCACAGCCTTCCTGGCGGGCATGGTGAGTCCCCATGGCGTCTACGAAAACATCAAGTTTTTTGGGGATATCACCATTGCTAGGTCAATCTTAGATGGATACTTTAATCCTAACTAGTCTTTTGGTATCAATGGGAATATCTACTAACCAGCAAAGATTTATTTTGTTTGCAAGGCATCTAAGATTGGCAATGATATCACCATTGAATACCGTGTTCAAAATGGTGACAGATGTGCTATTGTCTATGGCTGATGTATCTATAATCATCTATGATGGTTCATGATAATATATTATCAATATACATAATTTACCCAGACATAGTGGTACTACTGTAGATGGTTGCGAAATCCTGCGCCACCAAAAGCATGGCTTAAACCCTATAAATAACGGGATAAACCATCTATCAACTGGTGCAGGATTTCGCAACCATCCGCAGTATCACTTGTATCCCCTTTAGAATAAGAGGTATTGATAGTTGATAGTATTTATGTATCATTTAGGTAATTATTGAATCCACCAATGATGAAGTTATCTAGCCAATACTGCAATTGTCATACGGAGGAATGCCATGATTTCCGGCATGTAGCGACGTCCAGACGGCCTCACCGATCACCAAATTGATGAGAATGCTCCCCACTGTCAACTCAGACCCTCTCGTTTTTTAACGTAGTTGTGGAACATCACTCTTTTTAATAGGCAAAAAACAAAAATCATCTATCACTGGGCCATTTTCGATAGCTATGTTAAAATGACCAGGGTGGCAGTCCAACTGCAGTAAATGAAAATGGTACCCCCAAAATATATCAACTTGGAGTTACTATTTCTCCGGTGACATAATTTTCATGTTTGAAAGCGGTAGCAGCTGGATGATGCTGAATGACTTTTCTGATTGGTGGGTTCAATGATTTACCCTTCGGTAAACATACAAAAAGCTATTGAAAATTGCTATTTATAGTTGATTCACCTATTAAAAATGCTTATTTTCCATAGTTATGTTAGTTTACCAAAGGGTACCTGAGATGTTTATCCCCAATGGTTTTCGGACATTTGGAACCCCCGCACCTGGACCTCGATGATTCACATCCGAATTTTGCCGCATGGTCCCAATCCAGCCAGTGAAAATCAATTTGGTGTTGGATCAGTGGCCATTTCAGGATCCTAAATTGGAGGTACCCACCATATATAAGGCCTATATAAGGTCTATGTAAGGGAATATCACCACAAAATATAGCCTTTTATGGTACTATCGTACCTTCATTTTAGGATCCTGGAATTCCCATTGACTGGATTTTCGGTCAATTTTCTCAACACCTCCAGGCCGGATGGAGAGGGATAGATGTCCCAACTATTTTTTTTTGCATCTTTGGAATGGTTTCGGAATGGCATCCAGCCTGATTAGCCCAAAAAGATCTAAAAAGGGACATTGATCAACAACTGCGACTCATCCGGTGCTGAAGAGCATGATTTTGCCTGGTTTGCCCTGATAGGATTCTGGTGGAGGGTGAAGGCAGATAAACCTTCAAGGGAGATGGTGCAGGGTGGTGCCCCCAAGATAGCTAAGTTGGTTTATAAGTCCAATAACTATGGTGTATAGGTGATATAATCTTAGATATATCTATAGTTAATGGGATTATAACTTATAACCCATTTATGCTTTTGGGGGCACCACCTTGTGGTGAATGAGGCTTTTGATTACTACTACCCCAGCATGCACAAGATTGATGATCCTGGAGGTCTATTGGAACAGTGTGGTGCAGCTGATCCCACAGAAACGATCGATGAGATGGAAAAGACATCACACCACATGTGCTACAATGAAGGAGATGAACCAGACGTCTGGTGTCAGATAGAACTTCATGATCGAAGAAATGGCTGTACGGCAATCCAATCTACAATCAGACAGCCAAAACATGTTGCTGATGTTTTTGATGGACTGAACCATGATATATTATATCATTATATATATTATATCCCTATCTCCACTATACCACACTATACCCGCATTTGTCATTTGAAAACATGATTGTAGTTTGCAGTTTCTGGGGTCTAAACATCGCTTTCTTCAGCCGCCGATTCCAATCTGATGGCTACACTGCTCCCCAGGGCCTGAGGCCTGAGGATCCCAAGCGACGAGCCATACACTGTGCTGCCAGCCAGTTCTATGGGGGTTCTTAAAATGCTGGTTCACCAAAAGAATGATTTACCCTCTGGTAATTTGTTACGTAGCTATTGAAAATGGCCATAGAAATAGTGGATTTGCCCAGCTGGAAAATGGTGATTTTCCATAGTTATGTAAACGTTTACCAGAGGGTATTTGGTTTATATATATATATGTTTATATCATGGAAAATCCGATTAAAATGGATGACTTAGGGGGAATCCCATGACTTAGGAAACCTCCATATGTATCCATATGTTAGATTACGTACAAGCCCTATGAACTAGTTCGATATATCTAGCAGCTAGCATAAACCCTGATCCGAGTACTCCTAGTGGACTAGATCAACTGAGCGATTCCAAACTGGGGCACCACGAGCTGTACGAGCTGAGGGCCCCTGGCGCGGTAGCTAAGTTGGTTTATATCTAGGTGAATTCTCTGGTGAAATTCAACCCAAAAAAATATATTTCACGATATTTCACTGATTGAACCACGACTTCCCTATTTTGGTTGGGTATTTCAACCCATCCATCTAACCCCCCAAACGAAGCCTATCCACCTAATCCTAATAACAAACATAACTCACTGGAAGGGCACCACAGGATGTAATCCCATTCCCCTCATATGAAGCAGTCCCTAAATCGTCCTAAATATGTGTAAATCCATGTAAATCCTCTACATTTACATCCACCATAGTTTCTGGGGGATGTCTAATATTAGGTAGATAGAATCAATACACACACACACATATATATATATATTATAACATATATATATAATATTGAATATGATATATAAATATATATGTAACATATATATATATTATAACATATATATATATATAATATTGAATATGATATATAAATATATATATGTAACATATATATATATAATAATATATATATATAATAATATATATATATATGTATATATATATAATAATAATAATATATATATATAATATATATATATAATAATAATATATATATATATATATAATAATATATATATATAAAATAATATATATATATATATAATATAATATATGTAATATAAATATAAATATATATATATATATATCATAATAATATATATACATTGTAATATACATACAAGTATATATATATAATATTCCTATCATATCTCGTTATATCTCCACTGTACCAGCATTTTCTCTTGAACGCAGCATTTGTCGAAAACGGGCTTCGACTTTTTACCGAGGCTGCGAAGCCGTGGAGTACCAGCTGGTGATCCCTACACGTGGCCGATGGCGTTCAGCTTCAAAGGAGGGAGCCGGCTGGGAGGTGACTCCAATAGCTTACCCTCTGGTAAACAAACATATGGCACATATTTATAGTTGATTTAGCTATTAAAAATGGGGGCTTTCCATAGCTATAGTTGTAGTTTCATAAAATCCCATGGTACCCTCTGGTAATTTAACTAGTTAGTAGTGGTTAGTAATGGTTAGTAATGGTGACTTTTCATGGGATCTTTCATGGGATTTACTGGGATATACCAATTTAATGGGATCTTTAAACTAATTATGGAGCATCCCACTTCGCCAGTGGCTTGGCTAACCATAGCAATAAGGTAATCCATTGATAGATGGGGTAACCTACTGGGACTTACCCTCTGATAAACAAACCCATAGAAATAGTTGATTTACCCAGCTGAAAAATTGTGATTTTCCATAGTTATGTAAACGTTTACCAGAGGGTAGATCAACAATACAATACAGAACTGATAAAAATGGTGATGGCTGGGGGATGGTTTATGATTGTTTCAACCACATTACAACTCCCATGAAAAAAGAGAATAAGACATGGGGATGGGTCAAGTCACTTATCAAAAGCTATGACATTACCATATGACTGGGGGAATAAGGGAAGAACCATCCAGCTGTACCAGCTATGACTTAGGGTACCGTTTGGGTAACAGGGGTTTGACATTACATGAAGAAGTGATCAGATATATGGTTGAACAAATTAAACTATCGAGTGGGGTGGTTTGATTATTCGATAGTTCGCAACCATGAACTCCGAGTTAAAGAGAACAACACATGAAGAACTGATACCATATTATATGAAAATCAACCGTTGATGGGAGTGAACAAACCATGTATCATAAGAATCAATCTAGAATCAATGTCATCATGGGATGAACATCACTATATGAGACTCCACCATATTGTGCATGATGATATATGACAATTCCGCTATTCAGGATTGTTTGTTTTCTCAGGTTTTTCACTACAGCAAACATGTGTAAACAACGAACCCCCAACATCGGGGGATGTGGAGATCACCAAGAAATGCTGGGTCAGCAGGATCATGTGATCATCATGCGATCATCATGGGATACTCGACGGGAGTTCGGTGACTTCTTTTTGGCATTTGATCTGATAAATAGCTAATTTGGGGTTCACATAACTCCAATAACTATGGTTTATGATACTTATAACATCTTATAACTATAGTTACTGGGGCGAATCTAAACCAACTAACATCACTGGGGGGCATCACATTGTAGCTAAGTTGGTTTATAACTATAGGTAATTATTAACGTTGTGGAATCTTAGGGTGGGGTGTGACTGGATGTTTATGGATGTTCATGGTAGATTCGTGTGATTCATCAAACTAGTTCATGGGGTTTATATGAAGCGACTTATAACACGTGATGTTTAGCACTGAAATGGTGGCACCTGGCGGTATGGAGTTCATCTGAAAATCTCAAGCGGCATTTCACCAAGCCAAGAAGAACAATAGAGCCAACCATCAAACATTGAGACTGAGCCTTACTCTAGGTCAATATGGATACTGTAATCATTTAGTCTTTTGGTATCAATGGGAATATCTACTAACCATTATCCATCAAAGAATTTATTTTTTGCCAGGTATCTAAGATTGGCAATGTACTGGTGAAGGGCAGTTTGATCCTCTGATCTTTTGCCATCAATCAGGGGAATAGTATTTTTCCTGTGGTATCTAGGATTAGCAATGATAATTTGTCCTTCTTGTTTTTGCCGCTCCCTACGTCGCCACCACTGGTCACCAACACATGAATAACCGACTACCTGAGGACAACATCCGGGACCGGAGACCCTCAAAACGCTTGGCCGCAAGGCTCCGAAACAAAGTTGGCGCAGTCGCCGTAAATGTGCCGGAGACGGTTGTATCGGTGGTCAACACATGCAGAGTGGGGTTCCGCTATGACGGCTCGATAACAATCAGCGGGAATGCGAACGTCATAGAGCGCACCATGGTCTACTCGCTAGTCATGACCGCCTGGTGCTTTGAGAGGTCCATCATCGAGGAGGCTCTCATTCTCAGGCTGACTGACCCGATAGTAGAGGGTGAGCTGCGTGTCAGCCCACTATTCCAGCATGCGCCCCACTTGCCAATTGAGGTAGGGAGGCTCGGACTCATTTTAGCTCGCCACTGCTGAAGCTGCTGAAGCTCGCCATGTTCCGAACGGTAAAAACATATTTATGCAGTGGGTTTGTCCAAGAAGCAGGGCCCCAAAATGTGAATTGTCATAGTCCTATTAAATGTGGCTATAAAAATTGCTTTCACAATTCCTTGCAGGAGAAGACTAAGTGGCGCCAGCACTGTGCAAGTCAAGGATGTTGCAATCGAATAGTGTTGCTACCGATTGGGGGTAAAGGCGCGCTATGACCTTAGCCGTCATGTGTGGAATATATCCCTAGCCATAGGTTAAAAAACAATGATTCCTGCGGCCTGCAGCTCGAAATACAAACTTACATAGTGTGGTTCCCCCCTCCCCAGCTATCAGTTGGATTGTCATCCCTAATGACTACCATAGTTCGACAGATCTACCATAAACCCTACAATGTGGGGCCCCCTAGTTATAAGTTGGTTTATAACCCCTCCTCAACTATAGTTATACCTACCATAAACCATAGTGAACCTACTTATACCAACTTAGCTATCGAACGGGGGCCCCACCTTGCAGCATCTTGCCGCAGATAAGCAACGAGCGCGCATTGAAGAGAGAGACGCGGCCATTTATTTTGGCATGGAGCCTCAGAAGGAGGAGTTGTTCTTTTACAAAGCGCCGGTGCTTCTTGTGGGCCGGTGAGGTTAATCCCACAGGTTAGTCTGAAAATTGGAATTTGTTTCCCCCAAAAAACAAATTTTGATGGGGGAAATGATGATTAACCAGTATATTTAGGGGTACACTGTACCCAATTTTCACATATGAAGTGATAGGTTTTATTGTTGGCAAACAATTGAAAAATACGGGATATGTTGTGATGCAAGGCTATTTATGACAACGTGATATTTAAGGTTTGGAGCTATTGATTCCTGACCGCAGCGTAGCCAAACACCAGGAAAAATCCTGGCGTTGATTGATTCAGTGGGATTAGTGGAGATGCTTTCCCCAACCTATATAATTGGAGTTATGCTATATGTTTGTGTATATACTGTATCTGGTTGGTGGTTTGAAACCATGGAATTTTATGACTTTCCATTCAGTTGGGAATGTCATCATCCCAACTGACTTCACTCCAACATTTTTCAGAGGGGCGGCGAAAAACCACCAACCAGATTATGGTATATCCCGGTAAATCTCATGAAAGATCCCATTAATTCCCATTAAGTCACCATAAATTCCCATTAAATCATTAAGTCACCATGAAATCTCAGTGTATAATTGAATCCCAATCTCTGGGATTCTTGGGGATGGGAAGCTGACAGATCTTTAAAACTTGGGTCTTGTTTTTTTCTTGGGATTCGATTCAATAATGTCCTTTTGGTAAAAATAGAGGGGCCGGTTTGGTATACCATCTATCATCATTTATCTGTTGTTAAAGGGGTTAAAAAAACCCTCTATTAATCAACCAACCAATCAGATGGGAAAAGGACATCTCTGATTCGAAGACGGGTAAACACCAGATTTGTCCCCTCCTGAAATCTCGAGTTCTTGCAGGGAATGAATATCATATAGTTGCCACCAGTTTCCTACATGCCCAACGGGGATAAAACTGAAACCTACTGAGACGGCAGTGTGCAACATCTTCACCTTGATGCTGCATGGGAGCTTGATGACACGCGATGTCTACGATGCGGTGAGGGCTTCGGTCTGCGTACTCCGGGAGGTGCACTCCGATGGCCCTACTGTTGCGTGGGCTGCATGGAAGGAGGCCATCATGGCAACAGGTGCACGCGGTCACTGTCGCAAGCTTCTTGGAGGATTCCGTACACATCTGGCGCAGCACAGGACGCTGAATCGCTGCTTGTTGAGCTCATGGACCTTCGTACTTCTGGTCATCTGGGCCAGGCTAGCAGCCTGGCACCTGCCTTCAGCTGACGATGTCAGGACCAGGACTCCACTTGACTGTCCACTGTACATCATGTACCCAATGCCCTAAAATGATGGTGAGTAGACACTTCATCCGCCATGAAGAACAACGTAAGTGGATAGTTGATGGTATAAACATGTCCTCTTTCTGAAATGGTCTCTCCTGATACACATCCAAATACCCTCTGGTATTTTAACATAGCTATGGAAAATCTCCATTTTTG